AACCCCTTCCTGACACAAATGCCCCTCAGATACCCAGTAAGCAGCACACTCATTTACATTCAACTTTCTCAGTCGGTCTGGACTGAAAGTGAGGCCTCCTGTAGCTGAAGACACGGGCTCTGACGCCACCCTGTCCCTTGTTGAGGACACTACCTGACCGGTGCCCATCAGACTGTCACCCACTCTGTGCTTCCTTCCCTACGAGTCACAGCTCTTTCCTTTCTTCGGGCTCTCAGCCTCTGTGTGGTCCTTCTTCTTTGAGCCCCAGTGTATTTTACAATGACTAGAAGCTTGGGTTTATTCTGAATGCAGGTGGTTGTCCTGGAAGGATGATCAGATTCTAGTTTTACAAGGTCTCTCTGGTGGCTGTGTAGACCACAGCTGGAAGGGCTAAGAACAGTGGCAGGAAAGCCAATCAGGTGCATGTGTCAGTATCCAGATGAAAACCCAGAGACTCGGACAGATTCAAGACAGGCTCTAGAAGCAAAGCTCACCTGTCTTGCTAAGGTCATGGCATGGGAAAATCCAAGATTGATGACTAGGGTGTGGTTCTATGACTAGTTGGATGATGGCACTGCTGGCTGTATGCGTTCCTGTTGTATGTCTTCTTCAGGGTCAATTTTACTACAGCTTCAGTTAAGTCAGTTAAATAACAAAGAAAACTGGAATGCTCTTTTTACAGTGAAATAAGGTAAGCAACTCCTCTGCTTGCAGTGCCCTCCCCAATCAAGTATCCATAGTGTACAAGAGAAGGCCTCTGTTCAAATGTCTGTTTCTTAGGGGAGTTCTCTGAGTAACCTCCCTGTGCGTGCAGTGAGCTCCTCTGCCTGTGTTCTCTTCACTCTCTGCCTCGTACGTCTCCTTCCCCTCTAGAATGTAAGGTTATCCTTGGCAAGCATCTTGTGCCACTGTCTCCTTGCACATGTCTAACCAACAGAGGAGCCATGAATAGACACATACACAGTACAGGTACCAGTGCACTCTGGGTCAACCTTCAGGCTGCACATTGATTTCTAATGGAGAACAGAAGAACCCAACGAAGTATCATCTGTCTGTCACGCAGAATCCCCTGCACTGTCTGTGGCTGCTTTTTACCTCCTCCACTCCCACTGTCCCCTCCCTGCCCACTTCAGTGAGTACTGCTTGAGAAGCAGTAAGTGAAGCACAGTAAACTAGGAGGCAACTCTGCCTCTGTGACTCTCATAGAGGTCAAGGAGCTCCTTGGCAAAGCTAACCCTTCTCTAGATGAAATTTTTTGAGACAAGCATTAATGTACATCAAAAGGCAATTAGTACTGTAAAACCTTTAAAAAAAGAAACTCAAACTAATAAAGGATGTGTACACTTCCAAAGGCGTGCACGGGGCACTAAGGAAAAGTTAGCATGCCTTTCTGCTCCTTCCAGTAGAGAACAGAGAAGCAGCTCCCCTGCACAAGGAGGCTGCATTGAGACTTGGAGCCTTGCGGACCTCTGTTCTGCTGGGCAGAGCCTACTTCAAAGTCTTCCTCTGGTAGATGGGGAGGCACCTGTATTACCGTGTTGGTATGAAACTAAAACTGACGTGCTTCCACTCCTCAGTAGCATCTGTCACACCAACATGTTTCAGGAGACTGGCAGACAACAGTATTAAGGCAACAACAATACGCAAAATACCAGGAAGCTCATGGTCACAATCACAAGGGTGACTATGGCAAAGGGAGAAACTGACCGCCTAAGGTCTCCACACATTAAATGACAAGTTAGTGTATTTCAGGGGCTAAATCCAGGGACCTGACAGTGATTATCTTTGCTGTGCCAAAAGCTTGGCCACCCAACTGTTAAAATCAGTAAACAAGTTTTGTTTAATTTTTCTAGAACTGGATTATCTACTTTTTTTTTTTTTGCAGCACACTTCGGCTGCTGCAAGGAAATTCCAAATGTCAAGGAGGTCAGTGATAACATGAAAAACTTTAAGAGAGACACTGTGACAAGATTACTATAGTTAAGAACATGAATATTAACCAGAAACTCCCTGGAGTATTCATCAATAGTTATGATGGGATCATGCCAATTCCCCACTTGCTGCCATTATTAAATGAAGTCATATGGTCAGTCTAGAAAGCTGAGAGGAGTCAGGTGTGTGGAGAAGAAGAAAAACATTGCTCAAGTCTTGTGCTTTGCTGGGCCTCATCAGACTTCACACAGACTTTCACATGTTGCTCAATTCCAAGTCCAATCTTGGGGCACACTCCATGTCCTTGATATACTTCAGTCTGTGTTAAAGAGGTTTCCTTTTTTCCTTAGTCACCCCGAACAAGAAACTCACTCCCCAGTACAGTGCCTGTGACATAACTGTAACCACAACATGAACGCCACCTCTTCTGTGCTAACCTAAATAAATCTTTGACAAACTGGTGTGACTCTTCTATTTGTGAGAACACACTCAAAGCAATTAAGAAGGATTATTTTATAATGCTTCTTGACTTAAAAAAGCGGACAGGAATTTATATACATGTATAAAT